GGAGGGAAAGACACAGGGAAGAGGTAACTATGGGGAGGAATTGGGAGGGAAGCTGTTGCACTGTGGTAAACTGTAGTCAATGTCATGAGACAAACTGTATGTGAGCTGCTGTACGGAAAATGAATTTGCTCTGTAAATTTTCACCCAAATCACAATTAAAAAAGTCAAGGAAAGTTTATAAATGAAACAGTCTTTGATGGTTACCAGGGACGGGAGGGGAGGGGAGGAAAAATTACTAACTAGATAAGAGACAGCTATTAATTCGGGTGAAGGGAAATGCAATATACAAAAAAGGTAGCGACCAGCACAATATCACTAAGAAAAAAGAAGACATGGAGAGGTGCACAAGAGTTACAGACAACAAAGGTAAATACTATTACATCCAGAATCCTGTATTATCAGTAATAACAAACATTAATCAACGAGTGGATACACAGATTAAGACAGGCAAAATGATCAGGTATGGGTAGGGGAATGGGACTATACCCATGACCATATATAGATTTGGCAGACAATATTTCTACATACATATTTTTATATGCTGTAAAAATATCCATGTGTATAATAGAGCTAATGTGGCAAAATTATTAAAACTTCTTAGCCATATCCAAACAACTTGAGGGAATGAGTCACTGGGCCTGAGGACTCAGGACCAGGGCCACAGGGGACATCAAGGTCAATTGGCATAACATAATCCACAATGTTCTACATCTTACTGTGATGAGTAGTGACTGGAGTCTTAGAAGCTTGCCAACAGCTAAGGTACTACTGGTCTCTCCCTGTTTAGAGAAAAGAGTAAAGAGAATCAAAGACGTATGGAAGCAATTAGTCAAAAGGCCTAGTGGACCACATGAACCTCAGCTTCCATGACCTGAGACCAGAAGAACTACATGGTACCCAGCTACCAGTATCAACCTCTCTGAAAGGGATCACAATAGAAGATCCTGGATAGAGTGGGAGAAAAATGTGGACCAAAACTTAAAATTAATAAAGAAGTCTAGGCTTACTAGTCTGACACAGATTGGTGGAACCTCCAAGACTATGGCCCTTAGTTACTCCCCAAGCCTGGAACAGAACTCACCCCCATGGCTTAACTTTCAACCAAATAGCAGACAGGCCTATGGGGTGAACAATAAAACTGGGGAGGTACACACTCTTTTGAACTACCAACCATACAAGATGAAAAGGGCAGAATTTGCCCAGGGATAAAGCTCACATGGCATGAATGCATAGGAAAGAAAGACAAATGGAAATGGTAAGCACAGGGAGGAAGTGAGCAGAGTGCTGCTACATTTCATAATGTTACAAAACAAAATGCGTATGAACAGTTGAATGGAAAGCCAATTTTCTTTGTAAACTTTCACTCAGATCACAAAAAGAAAAGGGAGAAAGACAGCAAAAGACTCAATCCTAGTAACAGGGAAAAAAAGAGACCTATGTGGGAGAAACATAGAAAAATATATGCTTGTATATATAAAGAGATTCATACATGGATGGGAATACAGAGTTGGGTAGAGAGGCATACACGTTCTTTTACGATATTGACTCTGAAGACTTTTAAATATGCTGCATTTTTACAATTGTTCATACATGGTACCTGTCCTGCTCTCCATCTAAATGGTGTGTGAGAACCTAACACTACTAGAACTTCACAGAAAGAATGAATTCCATTTTCAAGGCATAAATATGAACATGGTCCACCAACCTACAGACAAGTTTTTCATGTCTGAGATGACTTAAAATGTTTACTTTCATCTCTAGACCATGTTCAACTCAGGGAATATGGTAGTTCAGTTAATTTGTCAACTTGGCTGGGCCTGGATGAGAGGCTGGGCAGCTGGGTGTACTATTCCCCATGATGAGACTGGTAATCAGCTCCATGGTGGAATCTACTGTGAGCAGCTGAATAGCAGCTACCTTAGGGATGTGGTCTGCTTCCTGTATGGAAGGAGAAGCCTTGGGCAATGGTCTCTAGCTTATGGCACGCTTGAACCCTGCATGTAGCCATGTTGTTGTGCAGCAGCCTGCCATGCTCTGCTGACCTTGGGACTTTCAATGGACTTGAATTAATGGCCTGCCATGTGGTTGGTAACACTGGGACTTGTGCCTTTTTATTTGTCAACCTTGGGCGTGTCAGTCTCATCAGCCAGTAGTTGTTTGGGTGAAGAAAAGCCTCTAGTTTCAGTGGGCTGGGAGCAGGAGGCAGAGCTGAAGCCCATGGTTGAGGGGTTTTCACCCAGCCCCTAGAAGCTGGCACTTTGAACTCAGACATAAAGCCTCCAAACTATAAAATAAACTTTTGTTTGTTCAAGCCATCCCATTTCTGGTATATTCCTGTCAGAGCGACACTAGGTAACCAAAACAGGGAACATTTATCTGCAAAGGAGAATCATATTTTTTTTTTAATTTTTTAAAATGAATTTTATGGAGACAAATCTGCTTTTCCACTTGAGACAACAGGAAAGCCTAGCCCCCTCTTGCAATGTGATCCCAGTGCCTTTCTTTCTTTCTTATTATTTTAAATTGTGATTTGGGTAAAGTTTACAGAGCAAATGAGATTTCATACATATTTTGTATGAAATCATACATATTTTGCTTTGTCCCAGTGCCTCTCCTGGTCAGCACTAGCAGGGTAGTCATGTATCATCTTGAAAAGGCCAAGAGGGACAGACAGAGGTTGAGAGGGACAGAATTAGGACGAGAGGTGGGACCTGTGGCCAAGGTCAGTTCTGTGCTCTGCCTACAGCAGTTCATGCACTCATGACCAGTGTTTTGGGAAAACTGGAGGAATTCTCCTGACCTCTTCCATCTCTGGTGAGGACAAGTAAGAATTCTTACTAAAAATAAAAAGTGAAAGCACATGAGAAGTGAACTTCATAGTCACAAGAGACCCTCTGAGTCCTTTGGGACTTGAGTGGACAGCATCTGAGGGTGGGTCCAGCTGATATGGTGTCTCCTGTACCCACCAGCATAGCATCATGCATCTGTAAGAACGGACCAAGGACCCTTACTCACACCCTCCTCCTCCTCAATGCATATATTAAGAGAGAAGATGTCAGCCCTGCTTTAAAATCCCAGAAGCCTCTAATCATTCCTGCCCCTTCCTGTTTACATTAAGTAGCCCAAAGTCCAGTGTCTTCCCATACCAGGACTCAGAAAACAGCAGGCTTGTGGCCAAAGAACCCTGGGGCTTCCTCTTTCCTGGAAATACACACAGCTCGGAAATGGTCTCTGTGGGGATCCTAAAACCCAGCAAGAAGATAGAACCGCCAGAGCTCTACCTCTGGACAAACCTCACCTCACCAGCGTCTGCTGCATTCATGCCACAAGGGATGGCAAGGAGTCAAGTGACCATGGTGGCTTGATTCCCCTTGAACTAGCTCTGTTAACATGCTGGCTTTGTTCTATTTCTGAACTCAACCTGAGAGCAACTGTGTTCTCATAAGAATCTGAGGACCAATGAATAGCTCCAATGTCTTCATTCTTACAGAGAATGGAAAAGACAAACCATCTATAATTTCTGGCCAAAACTTACAAAAAACAATTACTCTATTTGATTACATGTGGCCTCAATTGTACTTAAGTCTTTTGTCAGTTACCTTGTCATGTATATGTTATATTCTAGTCTCTTCCACTGGACTGTGGGATCCTAAAGGAAATGATCTGACACTACTTTAATGTCCAGAATGATACAGGAGGCATTTGAAAAGTAACTGCTAAATGGATGTTTACTGGTTTGTTTTCCTATTAAATTAGATTCTGATATAAATATATATGTATACATACACACATACACATATATGTATACATATATACAATGAGAAGAATTTGCCTATGGTGGACAAGAAAGAAAAGTCCAACAGAACTGTAGGACAACAGTTCAGCAAGTCATGTACAACCAGAGTCAGTAGGTCACGGAGCTCACAGCTTCCCAAGGGAGCAGGAGATGTGACCAGGCCTTCCCATGGCCTTTGTCAGGGAAGGCCTTCCAGCCCTCTGGCAGTACAAAACTGGAAAATCTGGCAGGAAGGGTGTGTCTCCTCACAGTCAGGGCTGACAAAACATGGGAAATGGCAGCTACATACCTTCCTTTCCTGCAGGCCACAGAAATGGAAGAACAAATGTCTCAATCACAACCAATTCCCAGTGCTGAGGGCTCTAAACTGGCCTCTGAGACCACTCCACCTGCCTGAAATGCAGTAATCTCCAGCCCCCATGACAAGGCAACTCTTAGAAAGAGTAATTTCCTTCACTTTTGCTCCAGGATCTACTGCTGGCAGGTGGGAAGGCTGTGTCTTGCCTGGCCATGGGAGTGCTTCCTCCCACAGGAAGTGAAGAGTCCCAATGTGCCCATCCCCAGCCCTGCTCCAGGGGTGCCCCAGAGAGCCCAGGAGGAGAGCAGTGACGCCCAGAGCACCACCAGAGAGAGACAAAGTGTTCCTCTGCTAGGCCTGACCATTCGTACCTAGAGCCTTCACAGATATTTGCCGGGTAAGTGGAGGGGGGATGTTGATGCAGACGAGATCCACGTCTTGATGCAGTAAGACGTCGTCGGTCCGGCTGGTGTAAAATGTGATGTTCATCTCCTCAGCAAGCTGCTTTGCCTCCTCCTCTGTCTTCCCCCACAGGGCCTCGACAGTGAACCCTTCTGCCCTCAGTAGCGGCACCAGAACCCTGGCGGAACTGCCGGTCCCAAACACGCCCACTCCTGGGAGCATCTTCATCCCGGCTTCTCTGTTCACCAACTCATCTCCTCACAAGAGCCTCCGGCATGGGTCCGACCTTCCCACAGTTCTGGTCAAACATGGCTCCTAAAACAGCAAGCATTACACTGGCTATTAGTGGAGGGCACACTTGGCTGTGGCTACTTTCTTGGCTTACTCAAAGGCAGTAAGTGCTCTGCCGCAAAAGCAGGAGCAGAAATACTGCTCCAGAACGAAAAGGTGCAGACTCTTCCATGGAGCCTTCAGGGTATCAGTGCTACCTATACTAGGACTCAGAGAAGGGAAAACGAGAAATGGGTGTAGCTGCGGTCAGGTCTCTGTTCTGCTCCTTAATTTTCTGTGAGACCCTGGTCAAACCATTTAATCTTCAGGGCCTTGACTATAAAATAAGAACCATGACTGATCTGTCAAGCTCCTTTGAGCTGTGAAGTTCATGATTCTATGATATACAACAGAAAGAAAAAGATTGAATAGGAGACCACCAAAAGAAGAAAGGGAAAGCATTATCTACGTGCTATAGAGAGTAGACTTTTAAAAAGTTTATGGTATCAAGTATAGGAAGATACAATTTCACTAGACATAAAAAATAGCAAAAACCTTTTCCAACTACCAAACTGGCCAAGTATGCTTAAAAACGGTTTTTGTACAAAGATGCTCACTCCAGCATTGTCTGTAACAGGGAAAAACTGGGCAACAACCTAGATGTCCAATACAAGTAAAAGAATGAAACCACACAAGTCTTTTGCTTGAGCCCAAAGTCACGAGGGAAAATAGAGCTGAGAGCCAGGCGCACCATCAGGGCACCACATGTCCCCACATGCTTCCACTCAGCTAACCCAGTCGTCCCTACCCTGGCTGTGTATTAGGTTCACTGGGGAGTGACCCCAGACCCATTCAATCAGACTCTGGATGAGGCTGCATCATTCTATTTCTCTGTTCAAGCTCCTCAAGTGACCGACCTCCCCTGGCAGCCAAGGCTGAGGACCTCCGAGTGGTATTTAACCCAAATGAAATGTTCTCTACACCCAGAACAATAACAACATTTCCAGAGTTTGTTCTGTGTATACCTTCCTCAACTCTCTCTCCTTTTTATTGTATTAGTAAGACAAATTTGCCATTAAAAAACAAAAGCAAACTCACTGCTGTCCAGTCAGTTCCTACTCATAGTGACCCCTCCTTGGGTTCCCAAGGCATATCACTACAGAAGTAGATTGCCCAGTCTTCCTTCCAAGGAGTGGCTGGTGGATTTGAACTTCTAGCCTTCTGGTTAGCAATCAAATGCCTTAAGCACTATGCCACCAGAGCTCCCAGAAAAAATCTTTGGTAACACTAACAATTATTCTAAATTCTACATTTTTAACATTCAGTGTTTTAAAAATAATTTTAAAAACACTATAATCCCTTTGTCTTCCAGTTATCTTTTTTAACATTGGGTAATTTCTCATTTTTGTCACTGTAGTATCACTATTTGAAAAAAATTATATTCAAAACGTATTTAATCTTGCTGTTATACTTTAATCCATGTAAAGTTACTTCACTTGCATCTGCTCACACATCTTCAACCTATTTGTGTTGAATGGCAAGATGGCATTTCCTTTGTAAATTATTCTATTTCTCAACTCTGAGTACTTAGGTTATGGTATATAGATCCCTGGCACCCTTCCCACCTCTCTGGCCACGTCTAAGTGCCAATTTTGGGCTCCTCTGCTTTTATTCCCCAACCCCCACTTCAATGCTCAGTCTGTGGAAGTGTGTCACAACTGTCCTTCCTCTTCTTGCTCCACATGCTCTCTTAGGCTCTCTCTCTTATCCTTTCCCAAAGCTTTTGTTAGTACACGGATGACTTCCAAAACTGTAGCGCAAGCCTGGATACGCTCCAGAGCTTCACACCCCCATACGGAGCTCCTAAGTCTCAGCTTTGATCTACAAGCTCCACAATACCCACATGAGTGAATGTGAACAGAAGCAGTGAAGGGAGATGGTAAGAGTATATGATCTGGAGAAGCCATCAGAGACATCTGGGTTCAAATTCTTCTTAGGTGTATGCAACTTTTTCATGGTTCACCATAAACAGGTTTAATGCTGTTTAGCTCTCAGGGATCTTTTAGGATTAAAGAGATCCAGTTATAAGTACTTATTTAGCACAGTGTCTGGCATATCGTCAGTATTTAATAATGATCATAACCCCTACCCAAAATATTTTCTTACTATACCCTATCTCAAGGAGCTCTGGTAGCGTAGTGCCTAAGGCACTTGATTGCTAACCAGAAAGCTGGCGGTTCAAACCCACCAGCCACTCCTTGGAAGGAAAGTTGGGCAATCTACTTCCATAGTGATACTGCCTCGGAAACCCAAGGAGGTGTCGCTATGAGTCAGAGCCAACTCGACAGCACATAATAACAACAACAACTGCCTTGGAAACCCAAGGAGGGGTAGTTCTGAGCCAGGTTCGACTCAACAGCACTTAACAACACAACCACATGCCCTATCTTATGGAATGTCACCATCATCTACTCAGTTCCCCGACCCAGCAACCTGGCTGGCAGCCCCACTTCTCTTTCCCTTACTCATGGGTGTCCATGAGTCTTGTTGATTCTTTGTTACTTCTTGAATCCACCCCTTTCTAGTCATCCTTTTAATGCCACTGCCCTCATCTAGGCACCAGTATCACTCACCTGGATGACTACAACACTGTCCATTTGATCTCCCTGGCTTTTATCCTTCCTTCCATCAATCCAGATCTTTATAAAATGTAAGTGGGATCACATCACTTCCTTCCTTTTTAAACCCTTCAGTGACTTCTCACTGATCTCAGTATGAAGTCCAGATTCTTTAACATGACTTACAAGGTCCTGCATGATCTAGAAATTTTAGGATAGGTCTAGCTTTGTGCAGGGTCACTTTTAAGGATTATCTCCAAAAGAGATGAGTTGCAAAACACATACTTAAATATGCTAGTAAAATGAATGCTCTGAGATTATTAGCTGACAACCAGTTAAAAGTTGAAGAAACAATTACATAAAATGACAGCAGTGGTTTCCATTTCTGACAATGTGTGTATGCATTTTTTTCCTTCTTGAAGAATTAAATGGTGAGAAACAGTTGTGTTCACTGTGGTCCTTTAGACCATGACACCAAAGGTATATCATCTCATAAAAACATTGCACACAAATGTTCATAGTGGAATTATTCATAATATTCAGAAAGCAGAAACAACCCAAATGTTTATCGAGAGATGATTTTAATAAACAAAATGTGGTATGGTATACCCACACAATGCAATATTATTCAGGCATAAAAAGGAATGAAGTACTGATACTCCAAAACATGCTAAGTGGAAGAAGCCAAACACAAAAACCCACATATTGTATGACTGACTCCATTATATGAAACGTCCAGAGGAGGCAAAAAGTAGCTTAGTAGTTGACAGAGGATGGGGAGAATGAAGAATTGGAAAACATGGACATTTTTAGAGGGTGATAAAAATATTCTGAAATTAGATAGTAGTTATGGTTGCACGACATTGTGACTATAATAAACACAATTGAATCACATACTTTAAAGTGGTGATTTCTTATGTTACGTGAACTTCATTTCAATAAAATTTTTTAAAAATCATCTGCCTATGTTCAGCTCAGTTAAAAGTAGTATCAGATAAAATACATATTGAAAAACTATACAGAAATTAATTTCTCTTCAATTGAAGGATGTTTAATACTGGAAAACTAGAATAATTCCTAGAGAGCACTTGCCTCAGGACAGTAAATGACTGACTGAAAGTCATGGTAAATAAAGATAAACACACTCTTAAGCTTTTCTTGGTGAGAAACCATGTAGCTAATCTTTCTCAAAAATTAGACAATAAAATAGTGACATGTGTATCATTTAAATTATAAAAATTATACAAACTCATTATAGAAAAAACAAGAACAAACACTGCAGTATAACCAAATACCTCATGGGATTTAGTTCCTTAGTTCAAAGGTTTAGGGTCATGGTTTCATGGAACAGTCCAGTTATTGGCCTAATGATGTGTTTAATGCTTCTTTTCTCCTCCTAGTTCTCTGTGTAGGAGCTCTGGTAGCACAGTGCCTAAGGCATCTGACTGCTAACTAGACGCCTGGCAGTTCAAACCCATCAGCCACTCCTTGGAACACTGGGCAATCTACTTCTGTAGGATACTGCCTCAGAAATCCAAGGAGGGGTCTCTATAAGTCGGAATCAACTTGACGGCAGTGGTTTTTGTTTTTTTTTTTGTTTTGTTTTTAGTTCTCTGCGTAATGCCTGGGGGTCTTATTGCCTCCATGAACAACTGGCTCCTTTGCCATGAGACCAGAAGAACAGGATGGTGTCCAACTACTATCACTAACCTTTTTTTTTTCCCCTAACTTTTAATTGTGATTTTGTTGATTGGTTTTCCATTCAACAACTCATACACATTTTGTTTTGTGACACTGATTACAATCCAGTCAATGTAATAGCGCTCTTCCCACTTCCTCCCTGTATTTCCCATTTCCATTATTTCTACCCCTTCCAGCCTTCTGAGCTTTATCTCTGGGCAAATACTGGGCTTTTGATCTGGTATGGTTGATTGTTCCAAGGAATGAATACCTCCTTAGTGTTAGTGTTTGGCTAAAAGTTGAGCCACTGGGGAGTTTTCGGGTTATGTAGAGTATACAAATGCCATAGTCTCAGAGGTTCCACCGGTCTCAGATCAGCGAGGCTGGTCTATTATTTTATGTTTTGTTCCACGTTATTACTGAGCATTTTGACAAAAGATTCTATAGAAGAATCCTGACCAGAAGAGGTAAAATGAAGAACAGGATTTCAACTTCTTACAGATTCCAGGCTTCCTGGAGCCATGGAGACTGGAGGAATACACAAAACTACTGCCCTGACATTATCTTTAAACCTTAAACCAAAAACATCCCCTTAAATCTTCTTAAAACTGAACAACACATTAGCTTAACTAGTAAAAAATGTCTGCCTTGATTGAGCAT